GTATCGGGAGCTCCCAGAAGGGTAACGCCGCCGATTTTCGGTTTTCTTCTCTCTCGGGCGGGGAGGGGGTGGTCTGGGCTCTTTCTCTCGTCTTCTCGTTCCCCCCTTCATTCTCCCCCACTCGTGGGCATCTCCTCTGGGTCTCCTTTCGAAACCACTGCAACTGGGAAGCACTGGGCATGTCTCGCCGGGGTGGCTTCACTGTCATTTTCCAGCGGGGGGTGTGGTGGGGAAGGGGCGGGGGGCCCGGCTGGGCAGGGCTGAGGCTGGGCCATCTGTCCGTGCCCGGGCGTGTGTGGGAGGGTGTGGGGGTGCGGGGCACGGGGGCTCTGGCGGGGTGTGCGGGGAGGGAGACGCAGAGGCTGAAGGGCTGGAGCCGGGCAGGGAGTTCTGCATCCCGAGAAGTTGTGGGGTGAGCCAAGGGGCTGTGTGGGGGTGGGAGGCCCGCTCTTGAGCTCAGAGTGTGCGGTATTAAGGGGTGCGGGGTTGCGGGGGAGCGGGGTGCTCACACTCCAGAGCTTGCTGTTTGGGTAAGTGTGGAGTAAGGGCTGAGCTGTGGGGCAAGTATGGCTGGGAGTTTGTGTGCGCGCGTGTGTGGTCCAGCCTGGAGGTGTGTGTGTGCGGGGGGAGGGGGGCGCAGTTGGGTGTTGAGGGAGAGAGGCCCTCACCCTCCACTTTCCCCCTGCCCCTCTCATCCCATTCACAGAACATGGCTTTCAGGACCCTCCTGGTCTCCTCCGCCTGTCGCCATGGCTGCGGGGAGGGGGTGGGAGGAGACAGTTGGGGCCAGCCCCTGCCCCTGCTGCTCCGGCTAACCCTCCACCTGCCCTTTCTCTCCCTTCCACAGGCTGGGCCCCATCCCCTGCTGCTCTGGGGGGCAGGGGCCGGAAGATGGTGGCCAATGAGGAGGGGGAGTGGAGAGAACTTGAGCCGGGGCCTCCCCTCCCCCATTTCCTCCTCGGTCTCTACACCCGCCTCTGGAAGGAGCTGGGGGATGGCTCCTGGGCCCGAGGTGGGGGAGGGGCCCCGCTGGCTGGTGAATCGCAGGGCCCGCTCTGGAAGGAGTTGGGTGTGAGAGCTGAGGGGATCTTGGCCCTAGCCGCCTCTCCCTGCTCTGCCCAAGGAGAGCTCTGGGCACTCCTTGGTGAATACTCTTCCAGCAGCCTCCCTGAAGCATGCTGGGCAGTCCTGTCTCTACTCCTCTGCTCCCTGTTGGCCTGATCCAGTTTGCCCAACACAGCGGCCTGGTGACTGACCCTAGCGGGGCCTTGGTTTCCGTCATTGCAACTGTGCAAACTGTGGGACGGGGCCCCGTGTCTGCAGATCACAGGAGCAAACTCCTGCTTCCTGGGGGGCTGGGAGGAAGCTGGAGGGGAAGCCCAGAGGAAGAGCTCCTAACTGGAATCCTGCCCTCCGTGCCTCCTGCTGGCTGTGGGGTGGGGAGGAGGGCATCTCCCAGAGGCAGCTCCATCCCATGCAGGCCTTCACTGATTGGTGTGCCTGAGGAATCAGCCCCCCAGCCCCTGCCCGATTGGGGCGCACACTGTTTACCAGGTCAGAACTGGAGTTAGGCTTCTGAGACCAGCGCTTTAGCCAGGAACGGGCCACGCTGGAGCTCTGAACCTTCGCCTTTGGGTTTTGATCAGCCTCGGGATTGTTTATCCAATGTTTAAGTCCCCTTGAATGGGATAAGATGGTGAAGTTGTGAGTGAGCTTGAAGACTCTAAGGGGAGTCCCTGGATAAAATCAGGGACGGCTCAGATTCTGATCTCACCGCCAATGAAAGCCCATCTCTAACCCTCACTGCAAGAGAGGGAATCACCCTCAGGATTTTGTTTGATGTTGAATCCATATGGTGGATTTGATGATCTCAGAGGGGAGAGGCAGGGGTGGGGATTCTCCTGCAGCTTCCGCCCCTAGACTTGAAAGCTTCACTGTGTTGCTGGGACCTGTGACTATACTCTTCCACATTCTGGTCCTGGAGGTACATCTGAGGTTGTCCCCTTGAGGCCTAGAACTCCTGTTTATCTGAACTAAGAGGAGGGAGAGCCTTCAAGTAGGGAAGAACAGAGGGTGCTGTGCTCCTGGTCAGCACGCTCCTCCAGAAGAGAAGCTGACAGATCAAGTCCAGGGGAACACAGTTCCACGTGAGTGTCCCCCAGGCTTTTGTGGTTGCTATCAGTCCCTTCCAATTGAGTGCCAAGCTCAAGGTCTCCCCTTTAGCTGCCTCCATGGACCCTGTCTCCCTCCCCGACCACCCAAAACCTTAAGAAAAAGGCAGTCTCTGTTGGGAAGGGTGTGAGGAAGGAGGCCAAAGGAGGAGGGGAACAAGAAATAGAGGGTTAGCACTGAGACAGGAGGAAAGGGGTCTCGAAGATGAGAAGGGGCAGAGGGAGGCCAAGAGAGCTGAGTGGGCCGGGGCCTGGGAGAAGGGGCGAGGAGGCAGCGCCGGCATGCCTCTGCTGCGGGCCGGAGCTCTTTTCACATTGTGCTACTGTCTGCACTTACCACTAGCAGTGCAATGTTAAAAGGGCATTGGCCACGTAGTGCTACCCAGCGCCAGCTGCCTCCTCAGCATCAAGACTTCCTCTCCCCTCTGGGCGCCAATCAGCTATCCTCCTGGTAAGAATCTCGGAAGCCTCTTGGTAGCCATACTAACAGCTCACGTGTACGGAAGCACCTACATGTGCTAGACACTTCACCCTTGATGAAACTGTGTGCCTTCTTGGCAAGTAACACGCCCATTTTACAGATGAAAAAACTGAGAGCCAGACAGGTCTAAGCACTGTGGCCACGGTTATACAGCTCTTGGATTGCAGAGCCTAGATACAGCCCTGTCCTAAGTCTGCCAGCTCCCCCATTTTTTTTGTAGACCTATCTGGAGAGGTTTGAGTAGGTTCTGTCCCCTGGGAGGTTGCCTCAGCGGAGGGTTGGAAGGTTTTGATGCCACCTGCTGGTTGTATGAGGGTATCTTCCAAAGCCTTTAAGGACCTTTAAGGACAAGAGTGGTGGCTTCTCTCAGAAGGAAGAGTTCCCAGGCTCAACCTGGGATTGGAGGGTGGGTGGAGAAGGTTGGGAGTCTCACTGATAGGACCAGAGTAGACCTCCATGAGGAAAAGTGGATGCACAACAAAGGAAAGGGGCTGACCTGGAAGGACTGCTCACCAGGGACAAGGACCGTGTGCCCCTGGCATTCCGCACCTACAGCTTTTAGGGCATAAAACGGAGACCTTATCTGCCTGCAGTTCCCAGCATGACTCCGCTGGGAAATACAGGGTATTTGATAATGATCCTTCTCCAGGGTACACCTGTCTGGGCATCCCAGGTTTGGACAGCACTGCCCATGGCCTGACCTTAGAGATTAAATAGAGGCCACAGAACGATTTCTTCCAGAGAGATTACAAAGAACTTGAGAGCAGTTACTACACCACTTACTTCTCTTTTCCCACAGTACCTAGTTAGCTTCATGAACATTTATGAAAATAAACAGAAGGGGGGGCAGATTTGGGAAGCTTTAAGAAGGTAGCTAATCTGTGCCTGATTTTCAGGGTTAGCGCTTGGGGCTTGAGAAGGGAAGCCTTCCTGGACTTTGGTGCAGTAAGTGGGACTGCGAGCGTTTCTGGGTCCCTTACTGGAGCCCGAGAGCGGCGTCTCTAGATAGCACCGGGTGCGCAGAAACTGAACAATGGGACAGACTCCTCGGAGGCCTCTCAGATGGAGGGGCTGGACATCATTCCTTCGTGGCTTGCATTTGCCTTCTTGCATCTCTGGGTCTTCTACTTCTCTCCTGCCTTTTTGCCCGGACAGCCTCTCCGTTCTGACGTTGACCGTAGTATTTGATGGTCCAGGTAGCTTCTGTCCCTTCCTTTCTTCGGTGTATTAACATTTCTGTTTGAGCCTCTTTCTCCTGGCACAAATCAGCCATTTGATGAAGTCACTCCACTCTTGTTCAAAAAACAAGAATTTTTCAGTGTTTTCCCAATGCCCTTGGGATGAAATCTAGATCCCTAAATGGTCTGTCTTTCCTGTGTCCTCTCTCTCACCCACTGGCATTTCCACTCCAGCGCTGGGAAACTTCTATTCCCTCCTCAGATTAACTAAGCTCAAGCCACTTGACACACACAATTCTCTCTGTCTGAAACAGTCCCCCTCCCCACTTCCCCCTGTGCCCACCCCAGGGCTCCTCCACCATGGGCCATCAGTCATCACCTCTGTGAAGTCTTCCTTGACTCCTCAAATCTAGGCTCAGCCTCTTCTAGGAGCTCCCAAGCCTGCTGCCCAGAGCCCTTGCCCCCTGTTCCTGGAATTGCCTGGTTATTGTCTGTCCTCCCTAGTGGGAAGGACTGAACGGCCCCCAAAGTCAGGCCACGCTGCCTTGCTCTCCATTGCATCCCCGGTGCTCAACACAATGCCTGGCGGGTCACGGGTGCTCTACAAAGATCTGCAGTATCAATGAATGAATCTGGATAACAAGCTAGCTTACCAAAAAAAGGTATTTTTATGATGTGTACAGTTCTCCCTGCAGTTGTCAGTCACCCAACGAACAACAATGGGGATTTCACATCACTGCCAAAAATTGCACGGGGGTCACACGGTTGCACTGATGCTGCGATTTTTGAGCCGTTTCGTTCCACTTCGTCTCCGCTGTGCTGGGGCAGCAACTTGGTGGATCGATTTTCCTTTTAGCCTTAAGTGTGGCCATGAGCTGACCCAAACATTTCAAAACCAGGCTGAAAGGCCATAGGACCCACGAACACCCTTGTTCAGGGATGAGACCCTTCCAGGTGCCCAAGCCTGGATCTAGGCAAAAAATGGATTCATTGCCAAGGGCTCTGGAAGAGGAGCGGACTTGGATGAGTCCACTGGAACACGGCTCACAAAAGCCCCCTCTTCACTAAGCAAACCTCACCTGAAGACCCAACCCCTGGTTAAAGCGCAAGTGGGGTGCTTGACACAGACAAAGCAGTTGCTGCCCTCTAGTGGCGTGAAGGGACAGGCCCCTGAGGGGGGAAGCGGGGGTGACAGGGTAGTGTGTATGGTAGGTACCCGGGAAGGAGAGTCAAGAGGACAGAGTGCCTCGCAGTTGCTTTTCCCCTTTTTATTAAAAATAGACCCAAACACTTTATGTATCATACAAAAGTTTCGTTCGCTGGTGGCAGCCACGAGGAAGGCTGACCCCGTGGCGCTGATGTCCCACCTCCCCTCCAAGGGACTGGGTCCCAGGGAGCAGTGGCTGGGCCTCAGAGAATGCCTGGAAAGCCTGCTTGCTCTGGAAACAGCCAGCTGGGGTGGGGGCTGTTCCAGAAGCAGCTTTCCCCACCCCACCCACTGGCGAAGGTTAGATACTCCAAAGTGCCTCTTTAGTGCCAAGATGAACTAACAAGTGGAGTGAAATGGAAACCCCTGTGATTTTATTTCCCAGGGCTTGGGATCTGGGATTTTTTTTTCCTTCCACCCCCGAATCCTTTCTCCTACAAACGGGGGCAGGAAGCTTCACCCTCAGAGACTGGTATCTCGCGGTGTCTGAGGCCAAAATTTCACTCCCAATTCAAGCCCCTTCTCATCTGCTGTCCTGTGGCCTGGGACCTACCAGCCCCATGCCTAAGGCTTGTCCTCCATTCACTCAAAAAAGAGGTTAGGGCAGAAATGGATCCTTCCATGGTCCTCTGCCTGACCTACACTTGGCTATCACCTCCATTTTCAGGACCTTAGGGCTAGAAGGACCCGCAACCATCCTCTTGTCCCAGTTCTGTCTCTCCCTGACTGCTGCCCGTTCCTGAGCCTTGAACACCCCTGGGGTACCCCAGACCCCCGTTCCAAAGGGGCCTGGGGGTGATGAGGTGGAGGGGAGGGGTGGTGGGAGCCGGGTTCCCCCCAGGGGTGGGGCAGTACTCATGCTGGTATGGACTGCTTGGCAGGGCCAGGGGACAGGTGTGGGGAGGGTGGGCATGCGGAGGAAGGGCACAGCCTGCCTGAGCCCCTCAGTCCCAGCCGTTGTCCTTCACCATGTGTGACATTTCAATGATGTACTTCCCCTCCTTGTACTTCTGGCTCGTCTCAAAAGCCTGCTCCTGGTGGAGGGGAAGCAGTGAATGTAGGACAAAACAGACCCCCTCCAGGAGCTCCTCCTAAGCAGGGATCATGTTCCCCTGCCCCCTGCCCCCAAGGGCCCCTGCCTAAACCGACCCAGCAACGGACTCCCTCTTGCCTCTTTGGACCATGCAAAAAACGTGCAGTGGTCACTGGGGCTCGGAGGGCCATGGCGACCGTCCACTTGAGAGGGTGGCCCCCTCTCCAGGTACTTACATATTTCCAGCCCAGGGTGGTTTTGCAGCTTTCACAGAAAATGTCAGCTACCGAGTGGAGCCCCGTGAGCAGGAGGCGCTGTTCGGCCGGTCCGCAACCCACGTTGACCCTGTCTCAGGAAACACGAAGGAACCCAGCGCCAGTGGAGTCGTTCTGTCAGTTCAGCCCCCAAACAGCCCGAAGGAACTTCCACCTGGAGAGCGCTGAGCCCGCCCCACTGGAAGCCCCTGCCGGCTGCACTCCACCCCGGGGTGACTAGGGCCTGCGCCTTCTCTCTCCATGGTGGTGGTTCCAGTTCTGCCCAGACTCTCCACGAGAGAACTGTGCACTGAGTTTCTGGACCCCTTGGCAGAAGGAGAGGCAAAAGCCAAAGGTGCAAGGCCACCTGCTGATGGCTCACCCCCTTTCTTCACACTGGACAATGACTCCAACACACACACATACACACAAAGAGAGAGGGAGACTCACACGGAGTTAAACAGGTAGGCTCGGCCATGGCTCCCTTGGAAAGACTGTGGAGACATAGGACAGACGGTGACTGCTGGGTTGCCCTCGGCCCCTCTGCCTGAGCGCCCCCCCCCCCCACCATGGGCGGGGAGGAGGAGGAGGAGGGCGAATGGGCTTTGTGGGACGAGCCTGGTGGGGGAGAGAAGAGAGGAGAGGAGTGGCGGTCCCCCACGGGCGTACCTTCGAGATAAGCTCATCATGTTTGGCCAGGTGTGCACGGCAGTGGACGCAGCTGTAAGTGCGGTGGCAACGGGGCAGGTAGCTGCGGAAGGTCTTGGCGGGGAGGCAGGCGGGGCCCGGGCCAGGGTCACAGCTGGGCATGACGGGCTGCAGGACGATGCCCTGGCGGGCCGGAGGGGCTGGCGCTGTGCAGCCCCCGCACAGACGGTCGCAGGTGAAGCAGCGGAGCAGGTTGGCTAGAGCCGTGTTTCAGGGCGGGAGAAATGTGGGGGGGCTGCCCGGCCAGGGCCCCCCCAGACGTGAACCAGATAGAAACGGAAGTCACCTGGGAAGAGGAGAGAGTGCATCAGGACAGCCTTGACCTGGTGAAGAGCCCCTCCCCAGGGGTGGGGGCTGGATGGGGAAGATGGGCTCAGTTCTCTCCTGCCTCGACTTCCCCCATCGCCAGGGACCCTCAGCGCGCCAGTCGCACCGTCTCCCGGTCCCCCGGATTCCCGGCTGCACTGGCAGCGTTCCAGGCCTACGGTGCCACAGCCGGGGAGGTGGTGCCTCTCCCTCCTGGGGCGGGAGGAGCCTTCACCGTTTTCCACCGAGAGCAGCCCGCTGGTACCAACGCTGCCATGGGAGCAACGTCATCTGCAAGTGTCCTCTCCTGGGGTTCAGCCCTTTTGTGCGGGTCTGCATCCCACGTGTGCTGCTAGGCTCGGGTTCAGAGCCTTTTACAAGTTGGGGAAGCCTGGCGGCTCTTCTCTTCTGCGGCCTCCATTTGCAATGCAATTGGTCCTTCATACATTCTTGGCGGGGAAGGGGGGGAGGCCGGCAGGCAGGAAAGCACACACACCCTGCTCAGCCCTGTCCTGGGGCCAGGGTCCTGCACTCCGGGAACTAGAACTTCATGGATGTCTCCTTTGGTACCAAAGACCTCAGACGTGGCCGCTCGCCAGCCTTGCACTTTGGTCCACTTATTCCATCTCAGAAACAGCAACTGGCTCTTTTCTCAGCCTCTGAGCCCCCTTGGTCTCTACTGTTGACTGAGGCTCAGTTAAAGACTTGGACATCCAGCCCTAGGAGAGAAAATATCTTTCCTTCAGGCAAATCTAACCGCTGGAAGCAACGGGAAATGTGGATCAAGTCAGAGAGGGCCGCCTTCCTGGGCTGTGTGGTGTGGTGTGGGAGCAATGTCCGCTGCAGAAGTGGGGGGACTCCTATTTTCAAAACCTATGCTTCGGGGTACAAGGTGGAGAACGTTTCCACCTTCTCCCTGGGGTGGGGACAAACAGCAGTGACTCTGTGGGTGACATTAGATAAAATTGCGGGGCTCTGATTAGGAATGTTGGAGATGTCAGCATGTGCCCAGACTCCAGCCCCAAAGTGGCTGAGGGTGCTAGACGTAGCAGATAAGCAAGGAGGGGTCCTCTGTTGGCTCTGATAAGCGGGTGAGGTTCTGTCTTCTCCTCCATGGGGCCTTCAGGCCTGCTGTGGGTGATTTAGCTCAAGTCCGGTTTGAGGTGCCAGCTGGGCGCTCTGGCAAGGCAAGGCCACTAAGCAGAGCAGAGGTGGTGTGGCTGCGAGTAGCCCGGGCAAGCAGGCTCTCGTCCTGTCCTCTGTGGTGGCCACTGGCGCCCCAACCGTTGCAGTCTTTCCTGGGCCGCCAGGCAGTCTCTCCACAGAAGCCCGGACAGAGCCCATCTTCAGTTTGAGGTCCTCTACCCCTGGCTGGGCCCCGGAAAGACACCTTGAGCTGAGTTCAGGGTGACATTGGGCTCTGGCCGCAGGAGACCGGCCCTCCTCACCAGCGTCCACCGTTCAGCGCCCACTTCCCAGCTCTGCCTCCAACTTTGCCTGTGAGTTCCCTTCTGCTGCGCTCCCCGTAGTGCACCTGCCAGGGGCCCTGGCGGGCCGGCGGGCCGGGGGCGGGGGTGGGGGTGGGGGGCTGGGCAGGCTGGGTCCCTGCTCTCTAGCCCCTTCCCCGGCCTCCGGCACGCCTCCCTCCCTCCCTCTCCCCTGTTTCCCCGGCAGGCCAAGGAGAGGCTGCACAGAAGGCCAGAGAATCACTCACAGGAGGGGGAGCAGGGGTCATTGCTTCCCCGGCTCCGATCACAGGCAGAATCAAGTTGGGCAAATGACGAAAAAAACAAAGGCAAGCTGAGTGCCGGGGAGAGGATGTTCCCCCAAGTGAGACGGGGCTGGACCGTGGGAGGTGGGGGAGAGGGAGCGCTGGGGTGGGGGGCGTGCTGAGCAACCAGCACTGACAGCAGAGGCGCCCAGGCGGAGGCTCGAGGAACCAGGTGCGAATCCTGTGCCGGGGGGGGGGGGCGGAACACGACACCTGCTCACAATGGATTTTCTCATCTGCTCCGAGGTTTCGCGCCCCCCCCCACCCCGGGCTGGCGTTCTCGGCATGGTATGGTCCAAATAATTAGCAGCGCAGCCAGCTCCCCGGGCGGGCTTCGGGGGTCTGCACCAGCGGCAAAACAATAAACAGTGAGGCCTGATGCAGCGCCAAAGTTGCCGGGAAATAAGTGCGGGAACCGTCAGAGCTCGGAGAGGGATGGAGGAGCTGAGAGAGGAGCAGAGGCAGCGGGGAGGGGGAAGGGAGGACAAAGGGTGGATGAATAATGCTTTTGCAATGGGGAGAAAGCAACACGCAGCAGGAGGAGGAAATTTGCAAAGGGGAAAAAAAATTCATTTGGAGAAGGGCTGCCCCCTCACCTTGAGGTCTGCTCCAGAGATCTCCGTCTATCTCTCTCTCCCTCTCTCTCTCTCAATCTCTCTGCTCACTCTTCTCTCTTCTCTCTCCGCTCCTTCAATTGGGAAGGAGATGGGGGCGGGGGAGGGTAGTTAGGGGCTCGAGACTGGGGCTGCCAAGCTGGCCAGCTGCTGGGGGGCCAGAGGTTGTCTCTCGTCTGGACCTCGGTCTGTGGGTGAATGTAGCTGTGTGTTGTGGAACTGCATCATAACACTGTGAGTCATCCATCCCCCCACCCCCTCACCTCCCACGTCAGAGCAGGGCTGGGAGACACAGGAGGCGGGCTGGGAGGAAGGGAGGGGGCAGGCAGGAGGGATGGGTCTAGGGGAGGGAGCAGGGGGGTGGGAGCAGAGGGACAGGAGGGGAGGAGGGATGCTAGAGGAGAGGCTGGTTGCTGAGGAGGAAGGCAGTGTGGCCAAGGAGACAGAAGGAACCTGGGGGAAGGACAGGGCTGGGCAAGGATGGAGTACGGGTGGCAGGCTGGAGGAAAGGAGGTGGCCAGGCGGTGACAGTGAGAGATGGATGCAGAGAATCAGGCGTGTGCACACACATTCAAGATGGTACATTTCCCGTCTCAGCTCGGATGCCAGCCCTGACGCAGTTGGTTAAGCGACTGCCTTCGGCTCAGGTCATGATCCTGGAGTCCCGGGATGGAGTCCCGCATTGGGCTCCCTGCTCGGCAGGGAGTCTGCTTCTCCCTCTGCCCCTCCCCCCTCTCATGCTCTCTCTCTCCCTAATAAATAAAAAATAAAAAAAGAAGGACATATTAATTGCTACACTGTGCCCCCCAAGCTTGAACCGGGCACTTCCAAGCCTCAAAGCGTCAGCTTAATGACCCTGCAGGAGTCATAGATGGGCTATGACATCTCACAAGCAGGAACCTCTTCTCAGCTACCTCCAAGTTACTTGTGCTTGGAGAACAGAGACACCCACATTATATAAGGTTCTCTACCGGGCTATAAACTTTCTGAGGAAGGACCTCTGGGAAACTCCTCTCTGCATCCCAGGACTGCAATGCCTAGTGCAGAACCTTGCCTATAGAAGATGATCCCCAAACAGCAGTTGAGTTGCATCTTCAGATGTGGTCCAAGTGTCTGGCTTTGGTCTCAAAGAGACCTGAGTTTGAATGCCAGCTCTGCCAGTATACTCACCAGGAACCCCTGGGGAAGTTACTGATCCTCTTTGTGCCGCCAGTTTTCCTCCCCTGCTAAGTGAAGCTCATGATATTTCCCTCATGGAGATGTGAAGTAAAGTGAAGTAACATGTAAACACCGAAAAAGTGCCTGGCACATGACCAGCACTTAGTAAACGGTAGTTATTTCAAAACAGTGTTCTCAACTTCATATGCTTAAACCCAGAGAGGATTTACTATTAAATTCTGACATCTCAAGAGACACATACCAAATTTATATCTTATGAAGAACTTCCATCTTTCGGTGCTATTTTTCTATCAGCTTCCAATTATATTTCATTTGACTCAGATTCTGTTTCTCATAGAGTGCCGTCCTGTGCATATCTCTGAAGTATGTGGACGTGGAACATGTCCTCTAAGATAAAAGCCCCAATTTCTAACAGGCTACCATCTAGAAAATGAAGTGTGACAAAGATTGGTACTCAGAAAGGACGCTTGGGGTCATTTTGTCTTTTCACATATAAGGCAGGGAAGAGTAGGGTAATGGGAGGCGTTGCTAGCTGGGTCTGAAAAAATACGAGGGGCACCTGGGTGGCTCAGTCGGTTAAGCCTCTGCTTTTGGATCAGGTCATGATCTCAGGGTCCTTAGATCAAGCCCCGAATCCTGCTCTTTGCTAAGCAGGGAGCCTGCTTCTCCCTCTCCCACTGCCTGCCGCTCCCCCTGCTTGTGCTCTCTCTCTCAAATAAATAAATAAAATCTTAAAAAAAAAAATACCCAGAATTCTGAATATTTAATCAGGAAGAGTCTGGGGTTTAAGATAAATTCTGAAAACAGTGCAAGTGCCTTGAGTGGTATCACCAGAAGTTTGGAATTGAGAGGGAGAATTGGGTAAAGATAGAAGTGTTTCTGTCTGAGAAGCGGATGAGAGAGGAAAGATAAGTGGGGGAAGGAATTTGAGGAACCATTCTTGAGGAAAACAATGAGAAGTGGGAAAAAGGTAGGTGAGTAGTTCTTAGGGCAAGGACTGAAACTTTAAAAGCAATAAGGGGATACCAATTAATTAACTCAGGAAGAAAATGATCAAGGGTTTAGCTGGAGAGGAGAATGAAAAAGACATGAGGACAGGATTCTTTGGAGGTGGGGGTGGAGATGGCAGGAACGCTTGGTTAAAGATGACAAGGGAGAAAAGTGAGTGTAGGCAAGCATGGATGCTGTAAATGTTGTGCCCTCACTCTGTTTAAGAAGTGAACTGGAGGGGTGCCTGAGTGGCTCAGTCATTAAGCGTCTGCCTTGGGATCAGGTCATGGTCCCAGGGTCCTGGGTTCGAGCCCACATCGGGCTCCCTGCTCCGTGGGAAGCCTGCTTCTCCCTCTCCCACTCCCCCTGCTTGTGTTCCCTCTCTTGCTGTCAAATAAATAAATAAAATCTTAAAAAAAAAAAAATGAATTGGAGGGGGCGCCTGGCTGGCTCAGTAGGAGGAACATGCGACTCTTGATCTCAGGGTCGTGAGTAAGAGCCCCACACTGGGGGTAGAGATTACTTTAAAAAAAAAAAAGAAGAAGAAGAAGTGAAATGGAGATAGTCTAAAGGCGGGGAGAGGTTTCTTTTCCCTAAATTCAGCTTGAGACGGCTATACAAATAAGCCAAAGAAAGATGACCTTCAGATAATTGGGAGAAATTGCCTCAAGGGAGAGAGTGTGGAGGTGAAGAAACAGATCTGGGAAATAGACTGCAGGGAAAGAGGAGAGGCTGAGCTCATTCAGGGAGAGAATTTGCAAATAGAAGCCTGGAAATGAATTTTTGAAGAATGGTGAAAGGATACGGGATACCTGAAAGTTCTCTGGAGAACTAGTGCATGCGTGGTGAATGAGTGAATTAAAGCAAACCATTAAGGAATAAACCGTGGGAAGTGAGGATGGCACTGTGGACAGAATGAGTGCTAAGGTAGGGCCGGTGTGAAAGAGGCAACCCAGAAAATAACAGTCCCAGGTTTCTTGATCCAGAGTAACCATGGGAGCTGGACTGAAGGAAGTTACTCATCTGAAAAGTGGGGGTGACAATTCTGGTATGTGCTTCACAGGATTCCTGTGAGGATTAAATGAATTTACACCTGTAAAGCTCACAGAACAGTACCTGGCATCTAACACTATGTGTTTGCTACTATAATAACTGGACTCAGACTCCCAAATCCTGGGTTTGAGTCCTAACTTGGGCAAGTCCCTTCACCTACCTTAGTCTCCTTTCTCATCTGAAATTGGAGATAATAGGGGCACCTGGGTGGCTCAGTTGGTTAAGCGACTGCCTTTGGCTCAGGTCATGATCCTGGAGTCCGGCATCGGGCTCCCTGCTCGGCGGGGAGTCTGCTTCTCCCTGTGACCCTCCTCTCATACTCTCTGTCTCTCATTGTCTCTCTCGCAAATAAATAAATAAAATCTTAAAAAAAATTTTTTTTTTAAATGAAATTGGAGATAATAAAACTGACTTTACAGGTTGGCTGTGAAAGAAGATACTGGAAAGGGCTTTGAAAAATTTAAACTGTTGTACAAATGGATGGCATTATTAGAGCTCCCCTCCTCAACCTATAATAAAGACTTAAAAGCTAACATTAGATGCTATGTTACAGACATTGTGCTTAGTACTTTACCGATCATCCCATTCAATCTTTAAAACAACTTTAAGAGGTTGGGTACTATTATTATCCCTGTTTACAGACAAGAAACTGGGTCTCAGAGAGTTTAAGCCTGATTTGCCCAAAGTCACACAGCGCGAAAGTGGCAAAGCAGAGCACAAGATTCCAAAGCTCAAGCTCCTGAGGATTATAGATGTGGCCCAAACTGTTGCCTGCAGGATAAATGATTGGCCTTGTAGAACTGTCAGGAATTCAGGGAAGGAAACCGAGTCACCAACAGAAATCCCCTCTCAGTAGGAGAGACGTTGTTGGGTAATGACTGGAAGAAATTCTTGGATATTTATTCTTTTATTAAAACAAAACAAAACAAAAATTTAATGCCCTCTAGGTGCCAAGCGCTGTGTCAGGGAGGGGATGAGAGCCCAGGTTGGCTTCTGACAGGCTGTTTTCCTCCACTTTCCTTACTCCCAGATTTCCTCGTGTTCCACATGGGGTTTTGCTAATTTCCCCACCTCCTGGCTTGCGGTCCAGGCAAGCAGACGGTCGCGGGACCCAGATGGCGAGCCTAGCCGCCCCCCTCCACCCCTTCCCGCCGCCCTTCTCTTTCCCCCGCTACAGGTGAGCGGGAACACTGGGGCGAGAGTCCGCAACAGCCGCGCCTCGGCAACCATAGGCTCCTCGACGGATCCCCGCCTCGCGCGGAGCGTAACCGCCTTGCTCTCCAGCTTCGCGAACAACGACCGCCGCCGCCCCGCCCACCTTTGGCGTCACGATCAAAACAATCCTCTAACTACAACTCCCAGAAGGCCGAGCGGCTGCGCGAGCCCAGCAGCCGGAGGCCGTTCTGGCAAGACTACAGATCCCGAGGGGCATCGCGCGACCGCAGCTTCTCCAGTGCGCAAGTGCGGAACCGCCTTTGTTTCCGGCGTGGATCTGGGCGAGTGTGGCGTGCAGTTGGGTTTAGGTGGTGCCGGGGCTCCTCGGTTTACCGGTTTGGCTGTGTGGCTGCGCAGGTGAGATAATAAGCTCAGGAATGCAACCGTCGCCCCCTTAGAGCCAGGACAGATTTTGGCGTCTGGGGGTGCCCGGACAGAAACCGGACTTAACAGCTGCGGTTCGCGGTCGGAAATCATTCTTCACTCTTTCTCGGCGTTTTCTACTCTACGAAGTAATTTCTTCCCTTCAACAGTCCCCAGAACAACACTTTGTGAGAGGAAGCGTAAGTGCCTCCAGTTGAGAGCGGAGGAAAAGGTCCAGGGAGATAAGGTGATTTGTCTAATGACAGTACTAGCAGTGGCTGAGCGGGGCGTTAATGCTCTTTTCTAAGTCCCAACCCAGTATTCTCTGCTTTGCATCCAGGTTGCAGACGCCCTTTCTTGTTGACTAAGAGAGTTGGGGAGTG